CGGTATCATCCTATTCATCCATTTGTATCCTCATCTTACTTGTGCGATCGTTTCCTGATTTCTGCCGAACTCCCGTCCTCCGTATAAATAATAAGGCATGTCATTGATAAGTGGCTTGTTTTAGAGGCACACAACATTAGGGTGGCCACAACTTCACATCAGGGTGAATAAATTCGTTATGCTTACGCACTTATTGTGTGAAAATATGCTCCACAGCTATGAAAAAAAGCATTCACAAACATACATTAAAAAATAAAAATAAGGTAACAATATAATATCAATACCCTGACATTGCTGTCTTCCTTATCTCAGCTGCGCGCTTATCTCTTTTATATATGAATAATTAAATTTTTCAATTTCACTCGCGCACAATTTATTTCGTTTTAACTACGGAAAATCGCGGTTTAAACAATGCGTAACTCATTTTCTGAATGAATGAGTGGAGAAATGAGTAATGTTGCAGGTTAACTCTGTAAGGGAATCTCTTCTGAACATACGTGTTGGCAGTCACGCTAAGGTCAAATGCCGTTTACCGCAATCGGGCTTAAATCTTTTACGCAATTAATTTTTAATGCCAGTAAAATATGTACAATTAATGCAATAATGTCTTAATTATTGAAATTACTGTTTTATATGCGGCAGACAATTCTATGGGATTGTGAAGCAAACATAATATTTATCACACACATTTAGATGCAAAACATGTGCAGAATATACCCCGCAGTTTAAGTGAAGTCTAAAAAATAAAGCCATGGGACCTCAAACAAGGTAGATCTTTAGGCTATCTGAAATAAATAAAGCAGAAATCTCCCAACTCTGATACAAAGTTATTTACCACAAAGTTGGTAAAACATTATGTACTGTTCGCTCCAAAATTAAAATTTCTAGTTAATTTATGGAAAACCTCAGATTATTTTACGTTATTGCCATTTGAAGAGTTGTGGGTTCAATAAGCGAGACATAAAGTCGCATGCGGAAAAGCACGTCAATCTTGTAAAGCAGCATATAAACATCTTGAATTCAGAAATTAAGTCCAAAGCAAAATAGTTTTTTGTCATACAAATATATCTTTTAAGAAGTCTCTCATCAGCGCCGTCTAAAGGACATTTCGCAAACAATTGTTTAACTTGTTCAGGGTCAACTGTATTCAGAACCAGTTCAAAAATTGTTCCTGAAGATATTTGTTGTTCAAAGTATATATTTTTCAAAGTAAACAATTAGCAAACAAATTTTGCAAATTTGAACCCATTTGGAAAATATATGAGAGTTTCGAATATATTTTCACCGCAGCGACATCTACTGGAAATACTAATGACTATCATTTAAGCATTTCCACAACTATTAGGACCACAATAGTTCAGTCAGTTATTGTCAAGGGTTGCCATTTCATGTTCATATGGTACGCATCATTTTACTACCCACTGTAGCAATACTGTTATGGAAAGTTAACTGTTATGTAGTAAAAATTGCCTTACTGTTATGCAATAATATTTACACACACACACATCCAAGTGTTACAATATTTGCATATGTATGTGTTTTTATTTATTCTTTGTACGTGCGTGCGGTTGCCGCATTGTTCCCAGAGCGCCGTAATAATTTTTTGCTTCATTTTTTGTAAACTTAATGAAGTCATTCAACGCTCTGCGACAATGAAAGCGTTATATAATAATTTTGCGAGGTAATTTAAAAAGCAAACAAAAAAAAAATAATAAATAAATGAAAATAATAAATAGCACAACGCGTATGCACATGACAAACATATATAGTGACTATATGTATGCTAATATACAGACATACACACATACATTCGCTTGCGATAATCAGCGGCACTGTGCAAATAAATTATAATTAACTTTTCATAAGCTGAAAATATGCAGTCAAATTTGTTGGCGAAAGTCTCAGATAAATTTGCATAGTAAATACAATAATTTCAAATAAAACCAAAAACCAATATACAAAATTATTATAAAAAATTGCTTACTTATTAACTAAATAGTTAAATGCCACGCTGAAAAAAGAGTAAATATTTGAAATTGGTAAGGTAAACATATAAAAACTTTCCTAAATGAAAAAGTACATATTTTGAGCTGAAAAGCTTATGTAAATATAATATTTTTGTGCAAAATATGTAAAAGTGAATTTGTCACCACAAAATTTAATACTGCAAACTTAATGATAACGTTTGTGTAATAAAATAAGATTTTGAAAACTTAATATCTTTTGTTTTACAATAAAGTCAATTAGGAAAATGGTAAACTGAACTATTTTTATTGTTGTTGTTAATAAAATTATTGTTAATTAATTACTGGTTAATAAATACATACTCGTATACAGCTTTATTTATTTTTAGGTTGCAATTTGACTCAAAACTAGTTTTAAATCAAATATTACCCTCAAAACTTTCCTCAAGCTCTTCTCAAACTCTATACTGATTTTTTAATTTTATAACTACAAAAATTGCAAATACAAAATACTTCCTGATGACCTTAAGCTTGTCACACGTTGTGTCAGATTTTTTAAATTTTTGATAGGTGCCTTCTAAAATTTCTCTAAACTCAATCTGTTTCTCTAAAACATTCCTCATTTCATTTCTTACACTCTTTACTAGTTTTGTGAGTTTTTTTCACAGCTACAATTTGCTCGATAGTGGTCGGTCTTATATGGAATCTGCGGCCAAAACTACTTCCACTACCAAAGTGACATTTTTGTTTAGTTTTATATAATTATAATAAGTAAAAAAAAAAAATTACCAGCAATTAAACTCTCCAGATGCCTCTTCCACTACCCCCATTGATAAATAGAGAGCTCTATAATTGAAACTAATACATATCGAACGACATCGGAAGTGTGAATCAAAAATGAATTAAGAATGGTTTACCTCGATTTACGGCAAAACTACGAGTTTTACAGAAAAAACTTATATGGTTAAACATTTAAGGGGAAAAATGTAAATAACCATCTTGTTGGGTTTTTTATTTTTATCTTGTACAAAAATTTCTTTCTTTCCCGAAATTTGTTGGAAAGTCACCTTCTTATGTCCTAAAAGCACTTTTTTTTTCTATTTAAAATATTTATTTATTTTCCTTATATTGACATAAGATTAGAAAAAACCTTAATTTTCAATCAAAAAATCTCAAGTCAAAATAACTCCACTAAGCCAACTTTTACGTGCATATATATGGCACATATAAGCAAGACAACACGAAACACTTGGTAAAAACACAAGAATACCACAGAGAGTGGGAAAAGCTGGCATCATATTAATTATAACCAGGGTCGCCAGTGGCCACAATTCGACCAATAGAAAATACAATTTGTTAACAATATTAAAAGTATTTAAATTTTATTGAAGAATTTGAACAAAATGTGAACAAAATTTAAAGAAAGTTGTAAAAACCAGTTAAACATTTTTTTTTTTTTTTAATTAGAATTTATAATTCATTCTTGTGCAAAATCATTTGTTCTGTTTCTGATTTTGGCTTAATTCTTCCTTTAATGAACAAGCGAATCAAATTGGCCAATTTAAATTTGCCGTCATATTTGGCCACGTATGCACCTACGAAAGGATGCCGAAATAATCAGTACAAAATATTGATGAATTCTTTGAATGAAATACCGATGAAGTCTCGAGCTGATGCTCCGTTTAGAAATCTTTTCAACAAAGAAATTGTCTTGTCTTTTGCTGCATACATTTGTTCTTCAGGTTATATCGGAAAGTTATCGGCATAGAAATCAGCAATTTCGTAGAACAGCACCTACTTCTGAAGAAATTCAACATTCTGACGTAAATAATCGCGTTGATCTTTTAATTGATCGCATTCAATCTGCAATTGATCGTAGTTATTGTTTAATGAATCGCTTTCAATTTGCAGTTATACGCGTTCATTCTTTAATGAAGTCACAATTTTGACAATGCGACTTTGCACAAACTCTTGCTCCACACAAATTCCACACACTCTTACTCCAAACACAATTAAAAGTCGAAAAAAAACGCAACCACAAATTCGTCGTAAACGATAATTGTGTAATCCAATATATTTATTTGCAACTTATACAGAACAGCGACGAAATGTACTTCCGTATAGGAATGTGTTAAGTCTGACGCATAAAGGTATTTTTACCTGTGTTCCCGTAGACGTACATTCGAAAAAATAATATAAATTTTATCCATACTTGTATATGTCAACTCAGTTGAAAAGGGAACACAAACACGAACTTTTTGTTAGCGTTATCATATATAGAAGAATTTCACTCATTCAAACGTCATTTAATATTAAAATTTAAGTTTCTTAATAAGGCCGAATTTAAAAGTTATAGTTATGCTTGTCACATCCTTTGCCATATTCACTATATACAAGTATATAGCTTTACGGCAACTTGATTCATAAAAATTTTCTAACTTAAAATTTTTTCTTCCCAAGAAGCTGATCATGGTTGAAACCGCCGATATCGGACTACTATAGCATATAGCTGCCATTTAAACTGAACGACCAACATTGAGTTTGTGTATGAAAAGCTTTCCTATTTGACGAGATACCACGAAATTTGGCATGGGTTATTATCTACTTGTAAAGTAACGCTATAATATCTGAAAAAGTTGCTCAGATGGGATAGCTATAGTATAATAGCTGCCATACAAGGTGAACGAAAAGACTCAGGTCTCCGTTTGAAAAGCTATTTTTTGACAAGGTACGAAATTGTTCAGATCGGAAGACTATAGCTTGTAAAAAACGAGTATTATTGTTTAAGATTATGTATATAAAATGTTTAAGAGTATATATATATATATATAATGATTAAAAAAAAATTATCTGCAGTATTCGCTTCGTTATTGTCTTGTTCTTCTTTGTATTTTTTCGCCATGTTAAGTTGGTTATCAACATTATATAGCATACCAGTATAGTTTACAATTATATATTAAGAATGAAACTAAGAGTTTACCAAAACGTATACTTTACCAAAAAACCACTTCTAGACTATTTGTCACTAAAATTTTTCATTGATATACTGGGCTTTCAAAAATAATATAAAAATTTGTGTTAAAATTTCTGCATTTCAATGCTTTCGTTTAAATACTTTTTTAATCATTAATATAGTTAAATTCAAATTTAATATTGCCGAAAATATTTTTGAAATGAGGACTGGGTAAGATGCGTGTAAATTTGTATATCTTAAATACATACATGGTTGTCATCTATATTTAGTATTCGCACTCAAAAGTATATGAATTCACACATATATAAGCCAAACACATAGATTGGATAACAATAGTTGCCATGAAAAGTGGAAATAATGAAAACACAAGGAAGCGAACTGGCGATGTCTTCAGGCAAAGCAACACTTAAGATAACAAAGCAGTCAAGTAGAAAAACAACACGAAAAGAAAGCAAATAAAATGTTGAAAGAATAACAAAAATACCAACACATACACAGCAAGACACAGGCACACAAACAGCCATGTAAATATGTATAAGTAAAAGTGTGTGCGTATGTGTATTCTAATATAACTGCGTCTCATGCTAGCCACTTTGAATGGGTGTAAATATGCTGCTGGGCCAAGTTAGAAAACAGCAACTAACCGAAATACAAAAACATAGAATGAAAACTGAAGCGAGCAACAAAAGCTGGCTGAGGCAAACGTGCAATAAAGGCGCCCGCCTAGAAGCGGGAAAATATACACACGACAAAATACAGCAAGTTTATACAAAAGTAAAAACAACAAAAAATATGTGAGAAAAGAAAAGGCGAAGCAAATAGAAAAAACAACAAAACAAGTCAGGCAAATGTGAGTTGCGCCGTACAACCTTTCACATTTGGTCTACTTCCGGCGATTGCGCACAACAACACAACGGTGTGTGATAAAATTATATGCGTACATACGCAGCACGGACATGTGTACTAGCTAAAGGCGAGATAATATGTCGTAGTACTTAGTAAAAATAATTAAGAAGAACTGTTTTAAATATTTTTGTCTGTCACTGAAGAGTTTATGAATTGATGAAGCGATCGGGAGCTACGTTTATGATCTCTTGATACCCATATTCAGTTTATGTCATCCCTGAGAGCCTTTTAGTAACAAAAAAAAAAAACCTTATAAAAACTGATTATCATGACGAATAAATCTTCGGAAATTCTCATTTTCTCTGGTATCTTATTCCTGAAGTTTTTGAGCAAAGTTGCTACTAATTTGGTTCAACTCTCTAAATAGTACACATTGCAAACCCAAGACGTTTAAATAATTATTATGACAAATTTTCGAGAAAAGTTTGAATTTAAAAGTTTTTTTAGGATTAGATTTCTACAAGGAATTTTTTTTTTTTAAATTTGGAAAACCTGCGGATATTAATGTCTTATCAAATAATTCAGATCTAAGAAACTCAGTGGCAAACTTAAGAAGTTTAAAAAAACCATTAATAGAGATAAACCATCCTGGACATTAAAATATAGCGAGTGGAACATGATTATCTCTAGATCTGCTTCCAGTATTTTGGAAAAGTATCGCTATCGAAGAAAAAAATGGATCGACAAGCTCGTAAAAACAATTGTACGGAAAATATCGAATTGCCGGGCTGCTGATGCAAAAAGGCTGCAACCCTATATCGTGTGCTTCACCATTCAGCATTTTTCTAAGCTATTCTTCTCATAAACTGAACAAATACTGAAAACTAAAAAGGCCAAAAGTCCTGGGCGGAATTGCACTTTAAGTGCCAAAAGACAGGAAAAAAGGAGGGAACATCTTTTGCGAAAGATACAGCGACTTTCAAGATCATATCTCTAATTTTCGAAATAAAGTGATAAACTTGCTAATTAAAGCACAAGTACAAAATGGGCAATAATACCGCGAACATGTTTTGAGTAGCATCCTCTCCTTCTCTTTCTGGGTGGTACTAATTTCTGTTGAAAAAAATTGAAATTGCTTGTTGAATCACAACTAATATTTTCTTTAATATATAATACTCTTGACATATGCCTGTATTTTTTATTGTAATTTACTTCATGTAGACATGTATAACAAATTATATATTCTATAATGCACCTCTTTACCTAGATGGATCTAATCTGTGGCGTCTCCAAGTGCGGACGTCTAGAATATACACTTTTCTTGATCGCAACTTTAAACACCGGAAATCGGAACAATCACATAATATTTTCTCGGAATGATCATTTTTACAGGATCTTGTCTGTGACTCAATAAATCTATTCTTTACAGTAAAATTTTTAAGAGAGTATATACACTAGTATCCACCGAATATAGTTTTGGCCAGATTTTCTCAAACTACATATTTACAAAAGGCAAATACTGCATTTTAGCATAGTTTTACAATCGAAATTTTTTGCAGTGTACGCTGAAATTTAGTGTTTCACATGTTCATATATTTTTTCAAACGGAAAGCACACACGCACATATATACGAGTAATGTATCGCATTAACCGTGTCAATGAAGGCTTCAAATTCGCGCTTAACCCTTTTGGGACCATACTTGTGTCGGAAGAAACTTTGTGGAGATTTGCAAAGACCCATAAGTGGCACTCAATGCAACGAAAGCAGATATGTAAATGTGTGGATCACATTTGTTGATATTCACCCAACAACAATGCTTTTGTTATAATTTTTTTGCTACGCATTTTCCTTTTCTGGAGTCCCTTGTGTCCTTAACTTCCTACAGCAAAACGGCATTTCTTTTCAGGCATTGTTTGTCTAGCTGCATGTGGAACATTGTTGTTACACACACCCAAACGTATGCGACTGTATGCAATGCCTATGGCAACCAACAAATAAGAAAGAAAGTTCGAAAAGTGTGCCAAAGGGCCTGCCATAAGAATTCGCAAGAACAGAAGCAAGTCAAATAAAAGTGTGGGAAGAAATGCTTTTTTGTTTAAATACAATTGTACTCGGCGGATAGTTATGATATCATTGTAAACATATGTAGATATGAAAGTTTTTCAACTATATTATTTGAGTACAAATTTCCATAGGGCCAACTGATAAATCTTGGGCAGCCACACAGCTTCCGTTCTGGGGATTATTTTGAATGATGTCTTGTTTTTTTTGCTATTCAGTTTTTATTGCATAACGCTGATAATATAATTTCTCGAAATATGTAAGTATCTCGAAACATGCTTTGTGTTAACTTGGCGTGTGATGGTTGTAAGTTACATAAGTAGCACTGGCGAGAATCCTTTTATGATCAAAGTATGCTTTCTAATAAGAAGTCAAGCCAAATGGACAAAAAGATTTTAGGAAGATTTCAAATTTATGTCAAGAAAATTGAGAAAAGAAAAGTGATAAAAGTATGTTCACCTAAACCAGTTTTTATACCCTGAACAGGGTATATTAAGTTTGTTACGACTTTTGTAATAACCAAAAGAAAATATGTCGAAGACGCTATAAAATATGTATACATATTAATGATCAGCGTGACGAGCTGAGTCGATTTGTCCATATCTGTCTGTCTGTATACGCATGAATTAGTTCCTCGGTTTTTGAGATATCGATCTGCAACATTTGTGAAAGCCGCTTTGACATAAAGAAAATCAACCCCATCACTTGCCTTAGTTTTTCAAACAAGTTGCCATCTCCGATATATAAACCCCGCTTAAAAGAGGCTCGCTTGATATTAACGTTAGATTCCTTTTAAGTTAAACCCAGCTTAATTGATGCCTTAAAAATGAAAAAACAAATTTTTTCAAGTAACTGTAATTCCAACTTTTATTTAACTAGCACTACCTATAGGTATTTACTATTTTAAAGCGAGTTCCCTTTAAGTCCCTTTCAGCTTTAGCTAATAGTTTGGCTACTACCAACAGCTGCGACAGCTCACGAGAAATGCGAACAAACGGCCGAAGTGAAGTGCCGATGAATGGTGAAGAATTTTCTGCTTTTCGCTGCCATTAGCAGCACCATTTTTTCACATTCAACCTGTTTGGATTTATTATGTACATATGTATATTTGTTTACACATATATTTAGCTGGTGTGCATTGTTTGTTGTTCTTGTATTTGCTGTCGCTCTAGGCAACATTTTCCATGCGAATGCATGCGTGTTCGAAACATGAGAGTGCTGCCAAGCTATCGATTTCGGCAAAAAATTACAGTTACCCACTCGCCATCTTTTTCATGGAAGTACAATATATTTGTATGTGTGTGTGTGTGTGCAGCACTCGTATGCAGCTGAATGCAATTTTCACCGTTAACGATCATTTTGTTCGCACATTGACAGCACGTCTATATATTATATTATACATATACACACACATATACGCTTACATTTTATATGCTTTAATATGCTTTATACTTGTAGCATGTGTGAATTTATTTAGGCGAACCAAGTGCAGCGCGGCAGCAATTTTTACTTGTTGCTGTCTACTAAGTGCTACACACATGTCGTTTGTTGTTGTTGCCCGATATACTTTTCGCTCGTAATGAATGAAAATGCATTTTGTACGCGCTTATGTCAGTTTAAATTGGAATTTATGTTTCTAGCACATTCGTGTTGCGTATACGCCGTGTGGGTGCGCTTGTATTTTATATGGAAAAGCATAGGGATATGGAGATTTCCTGTAAACATTGCTAAAACTGCCCAGTATCTTTTAAGTTAGAATATATGGAGCCGTGTACGATATCCCGTCTGAGCATACTGAGGATTGTGCATTTCGAGATGAAATGTTCAAGAGCCATTTTGTCAAAAATAAAATTTTGACAAGTCCTTCAATCATTACCTGTACTCATTTTGGTTTCTGGATTTTAGACAATTTGAAGCAGAAAATTCTTTCATACCGGCAGAAACCTGTTTCTGGAGGTACTCGTGGAGATTGGCTACGGTACAAAGAGAATCCAAAATATTTCAAAATACATTACTTTTATTTATTTATTAAATTAAATACCCCTTAAAAAAATGCGTTTTCCTGAATTCCAAGCAAATATTACTATTTAATGGAACTATATTTTTGTAGCTGAAAGTGCTTTGGTTGAATAATCACTATGTCTTTGATCAGTTCGTAGATCAACAGATCGAAATACTGAGATCGAAAACCAGTATTTAGATAACTTAGAGCGAACTTCCAAAAATGATTTGCGTGCATAATACACAATATTAATAAAATGCCATGGTTTTCGAAATCGATCGTTATATAAGCACCTATCTGCCATACTTAAAAAATTATTCATAACTGAATTAATAATTGTTCCATCGTTTTTTCGTTTGAACAAAGCCGAATCATAATAGAAAATATCCAAAGAAATTTTCGTGTAATTGGAATTAGTCGTCTTGAGAGATATATATAGTGTGCAGGTAGTTTCGCTGATCACAAATAAGTTGTTAAATTTTCTCCAATAAGTTCTTACATTACTCTTTTATTAACATATGAGGATTTTAAATTTAATAAAAGTCGTCTCAGGTTCTCATTCATCAACCTCAGTTCATTTGAAATATATTTTTATAAATACACATGACCTAAATAAGTAAACTATATCAGAATTCTTCTGGAAGGATATACTTCTGTATATATGATGGAATATGAGAATATGCTTCCAGTACTCGAGCCAAATCAATATTTTACAGCTGAGGCACGTTTACGGCCCTATGTAAACTAAATAGGGTTAAGCCTAGGCACGAAAGGCAGGCAAAGTTGCACGTTTCCCAATTTGGACATATGGCTAGCCCTATTAAAAAAGTAGTTTCTTTCTATTCTATTCAGTTTCTTCATATCTTTCCCTAAAATTTGATTGCACTTACATCCAATTTCACTTTGACCACGCACTGCTGCCAGCATTTGTTTCTCCAATTGATTGTTTTAATAGTTTTCCGGCGCTTCGAAAGCGAAACGATCAACTCAATTCAATTTCAATATGCATTGGCCACTTCTCTAGTCGCTTAGTTTAACGTCGGTGTAATTGAATGGCGCTTTCTAGTTTGTGTCTCTCACATTTTTTGTCGATTCGTTATATACGAGCATGTATGTGTGTACGAGAACGAGTGTGTGTGTGTGTGATTGAGACAATTAAATTAATTGCTTTATGCAGTGGATTTCAGATTTCCCTAACAAATGGCATTTAAAGCTTTCAAAGTGCAGTTAAATTAATTCGATAGCAGTTGTTGTTGCGTCAGCTTTTTTGCGGTTTTAGAAAATCGAACTCC